CATAAAAAGTGAAAATGTGCATAAGAATTCCACATTTCCTTGAAAAGGAAACAGATGTGGTCAACATAGAGGAAGAGATACTCAATTTCAGGGATATGCAGATCAAAACCATCATGAAATATCTTTTTACACCCATTCATCTGATAAAAATGGGAAGGATGGCAATTCCAACTTGGAGAGAATATATGAATCCAAAGGTGGGGGTATAATTGGTACATCCATTCTGGGTAATCATTTGGCATGATCTCAGAGGCTGAACATTCATATTGTCTATGTCCTTACCAATTCTACTCTTGAGTATAAAGTCAAGAAAAACAATTGTGGGTATGTACTGGATACCTATACAAAAATGCTCATATTAACACTATACTCAAGAGCAAAAACCTTGATACAACCTGAAAATCCATCAAAGGAGATGCATGAATAATTTAATGTTTATTTACATAATGAAATACTCTACAGCAGTGAAAAAGAGTGGACTACAGCAACACTCAGTAATAGGGGTAAATATAAGCAATATAATAATGTAAAAATAAATTACTAGACTATTCAGCTTGATATTTTCTATCTCCATTAAAACCAAATAAAATAAAAATACTGTATTTTTTCAGATTACACAAGAAATGGGAATACACATACACACATACATAATTTAGACTTGTAATTATCTTGGTGGCAGGAGCACGTGGAAGGCTGTGGCTTATTACAATAGTTTGTTATCAAAACATATAAATAGGGGTCCACAGGCCATGCGGGCACCCATGAAGAGAAGTGTCACTGAACAGAGGGTACAGTTAACACTTTCACTTAAGATGTGAATTGAGCAAAAATCTACAGCACATGCACTTGATCACACGGTGTGTCACACCAAGACATGTAAGTGACCACAGCGGGCTGCACACTCGCCTCACCTTGATGAGTCAGGTTAAAAACAGTGCTAACACTTCTCTTCCTTAAGTAGTTTTCAGCCACCAGTGTGAAGTTGTACATTTCCTGTGAATGTTGAATTACTTGCCAATCACACCAGTTTTTGTGTTTACAAAGTGTCTTCTTTCCAGAAAATCTTTAAGAAAAAAACAGAATGATTTCAGAGTTTATACTTTTTTGTCAACACAGATTGTATCCCTGAATCTTTTGGGGACACATGCAGGGCTTCCAAACTATGTTCCACAAAACAGCATTGACCTTCACCAACAAATACCAATACTGAAAATATTGTTTCAAAAAATGTCACTTATGTGGTTAAATGATGAATTACTGACTCCTCCTTGTGGATGGTCAGAAGCCTCTTTCATCTACTTGGAATATTCTTAAAATTTTGGAAACTAGACCCGGATCACCAGGTGGAACTATTTTTATATCAAGATTCACCATTAACTGCATGATTTTTATGCTACATTTTCCTTTAACAAAACTCATTTAGAAAGTATTGTACGCTTGTGACCACTGGAATATTTCCTTCTGACTCTGGCAGGGTGGTTTTAATATATTTGTTCACATTTTCCACAACATGAGTACATTCTCAAAATCCCATGTGGCTTTTCTTGATATTGTCACAAGCACCTCAAACAAGAAAGACTCAATCGGTCGGTAATGTAACCAGAGTGAACTTACGATTCAAATAAAGTGTAGCTTTGGGAAGGATGCTTAGTTAAGCCAGTGTCACTCCCGGGATCCCAAGTACAGTTCAAAGCCCTGAAGTCCTGTGTTTCACAAGAAAAGTCCTTGGGCTCCTCAAGTACTTCTGTTCATACAAAGATAAAACAGATAGAAGACTTAGTTAAATCCTCTTATTCAAAGACAAGTGAGATGGAAAGCTGTTTGGGGTCTGAGGCCACAGAGTCACTCTGAACAGTGAAAGGCTCACACAGCAGCTCCCAGAAGTCACATTTCAGGTGCCTATCATCTCGGCCCCTTCTCCTTCCTGGCCTTGTGCCTTTCTGCAGTATCACCAGGGATGGATGGTCAGTGCTCTGCAAAAGGTCTGCATTTTGTCTATTTGATGGAAGATATATCCTCAGTGGCTGCTAGTAGGCACTCTCTGGGTCTGGCTAAATGACAGACCGAGTAAGGGAAAGAATGAACAAGTGGCGTCAGTATGCCCTGGAATTTCATTTTGGATGCTGTGGCTTGCAGAGAGCCCAGGCGTGTTTGGGATGCCAGGAAGTCAGGTTTGGGGAAAACTGCTAAACTCAGCAGCCGGGAGCTGAGAGCTCACAGAATATGCAACACCCCCAAGTTCCCAGAGTCACTGTTGTTCTTAGAGGCCGTGCCAAGGGGAACAGATGAGCCAAGTGTCTGGGAGACTGGAGACAGCGGCTGGCAGGACCAGCAGGGAGGGAGGATCGCAGCTATTGTCCTACCATGTGGCAGCAGGCCGCTGGACATGCACACACACAACCACATAGAAAGTAAAATGTCCCCTCTCCATTGGCACCACCAAAGGAGGTTGCTGGCATTCCCACACCCAGTTAAAAACAGTGATGGCCTCCACTTGCTGTGTGCAGCCATCATACTAGGGTCAGGCCCTGTCCATGTTCATTCATCCTCACAAAAGCCATTACAAAGCCCATTTC